GGGGGGGGGGGGGGGTCCTGCAGCCACAAACATAGACCCTACACTCGCTCCATGAAAGATAAATTAGGGTGTGGAACAGTGGAAGTAGATATTAGCAGATCAGTTGGCACGAGGCTGCCAACGAGTGGGGCCCCCGGCGTGGGGGGGGGGGGGTTAGTGTCGTCTCTACCCCCGACGGGCGGCGAGAAGCTCTTTCAGTGTCCCCTACGCTCTATCCGGATGAGGTCTCAGGAGAAGCTGCCTGGTTGTAAAGGTTGCGAGATAAGTGGCAGGTTTAGGGGATGGCTGCGAACAAACACCTCCTGGTCTTTGCATAGAAATGGAAGGCTGTTGTCAGTAGAGGTGGTTTCTAGAAGTGTAACCGAGTGCTCCCACAGACAAAGCACCAGTGTGAGTGAGGCTCACCCACGCCACAGGGGGGCGATGCCGCAGGGTGCCCCCCCCCCTCCAGGGTGGACAGAGGAGGCTGGCCGGCGTTATCCTGGAGGCTTGCCCACCTGATTGCACTCCTGGTTTGTGGGGGCGCGCCGGGATGTGCAGTATTTCGCATGGCCGTGCTGCGGGACCGAGGCGCACCTCTAAAAACCACACCAGTTCCGCCCGGGGGGGGGGGGGCAGAGGGAGGGGCAGGAGAGAAGCTGAACACTGCATAAAGACCAATGTTTAAAAGCCATGAAGTCATCGTCAGAAACAATCATTCACTATATCATCAATGAGAAAAACAGCAACGACATCAGCAAACTTGTCACAACAACAAAATAAAAAAAATGCACGCTGGCAATTCGAACCAGGAAACAAAACAAAAAAAACAAAAAACAAAAAAAAACACGTCAAACGACTCCATCTCCGACTAAAGTGATCCTTGCAGGAGAGACAGAGAGGAGTGGAAGTGGACGTTGCCGGGGACAGACTCTGGCTTAGCAGTAGTAGTAAATGTAATACGGGGGGGGGGCCAGTTCTGACAGAGAGCTGCTCTTGTGGAGGATGAGGAGAGATGCCAGTCTTCAGGGATCAGCAGGGAGGCAGACC